TTAGGAGATGTAGTTTTGCTAGAGACATATTTAAGTGTTTTATATACCTCAAGATTAATGAAGAAATACTTTTACTTATTTACATAACACACTGTAAATATGCTCAGTTTTATTGGAATCCAATGTTCTAAATGCGTTGAAAAAAAATCTTCTTCTATACTTTGGTGTTTTTCAACAGGAAATAATCCTTGTAAACCACTTTATGTATATATATAATTAATAAATCACACGCTTTTGAATTACCACCAAGAATAATATTATTTACTAGATTCAGTGAGATAATGGTATGATATACCATTACTCGTGACCAGCATCTATCATTTATATCAAAATAAATAATTTTATAAACAGAAATATTTATCTTATATGTATTACAATAATATTCTTCACTACTCAATTTTTAAGCATCCGGCAGTTCTGTAAGGTAAAAACAAGTAGAGGTTCAATAGGATTTCTATAAAATGATATTGTAACGATATCTACGATACGATTTCTACGATAGAAAGTACCACACACTGCTAAGCAACCTGTTACCAGTTCTAATATGTGTTCATACTGTACAAACGGATAAAATTCGAGCAAGTACGATTTTTTACCATAATCCATAATCCAGAGCGATGTATCTAATATTAGTCTCGATAATCTCTGACAATATCTATGACAAAAATCTCACAACAAGGTTTATTGTACGAAATGAAAAATATATACGAGAATCGAGTAATAAGTATTTCAAACGACTGTATTGTGACAAACTATCATACAAACACTGTTGTGCGATAAAAGAACCTATGCTTAACATTTGTAATTCTGGAGGATAAAACTTGTCAACAACATCAATGATTTAGTAATCGAAGCTAAACTTGAGAAGAAAATCTTATTACTACGCATATAGACAAAAAATTGGTCAAAGTAGAGATAACAAAACACCCGTTAACAGCCAAGTGCTGTGGAGTGGAAAAGATTTCTGCTCGCATGAAATATGCACAAAACGGACAAGTTATCATCTATTTTCTCAACTTAAACTCAATATACTATGACTATTTATATAAACGATACCTAACTGTATCGTTTTGAATATTTCTTAATCACATCAAGAAAAAAAATAACACAAATAAAAATAATTCTATCACATTCTATTATATGAAGCAGAATTCCACTCGGTAGTTCAAGAAGATTTCTTGTTTGCTTCTGGTTGTTTTTGTTTTCTATCACTTTTTCGTTCGATTTCTGTATTACTGCTGGATTTTTTTTTTTTTTTTAGATTCTCCTTCAAAAACAGTAAAAGATTTAAAATGTAGTCTGGATTTATTTGTACTTTTTGTTTTGCACTTATCTGAAAATCAATTACAAAGTAGAAAGTAGGAAAAGCGGTACATTTTCATTTCAAGACTTTTAATAATTGTGTTTGTAATAAGCTTACGTTTAATACAAGTAATGTAAGGGTAATTGTTGCACCACGTGTTACAAAACGTGAAGATTATAATCGACTTCAGGACGCGTAACATACATTCATATATATCTTTGTCACACGAACTGAACACGTTGATTCAAGTCCAAAACATAAATTTTCTGTTTAAATGTTACCTGTTATCTGTACCAAAACTTCTTCCACAAGTCTATAGTGTGCTATTTTTACTGCCAGGTTTATTATTTCTGATTATACTAATTGAATAAACACACTAGTTACGTCATATTGACAATGCAAGTGTGTCAGTTCTTAAATCGAATCTCACAAAAAGTTCTACGCTAAGTGTTTGTATTACTGAATGTAGTAAAACTTTTCTAAATTTTGAGAGGTGTAATGTGGCGTTTTGAGTATAGAAATATAGACTATTTCTAATTATCTTGGTAGCACCGCTTACAAGATATATGATTCCTTAAGTGGTTATTTTTGGTTTAGTGCACTTATGGTTCAGTAAATTTAAAAAGCTAGTTTATACGGCATTCAAAAATTTTTTAAGTTTATTTCCGTTTGAGAAAGTGTCGTAAGATACTTCTTGCTACACCGGTTCTACAATTTAGAATGCGTTCTGTCTGATTCTTATTTGGAAAAATTTTTGCACAATGCAAAAGAATAGCGATAGCAATACGCAATAGTCACAAAATTTTAAATTGTCGAAATTTGTATCGCCATTTGTTTATTCCGTTTTCTAATTTACAATGATACATGTGTATTTTCGAATGTTAAATTTCGTTGTTTTTACCGATAGTTATAAATACAAACCTTATAAAGCCGATGTTTGTTTTCTCGTTATCGCTATTTCTTCGCATAGTGCAAGAGGCGTAACACCACAAGGCGTTCTTTGTGTACTGGCGTTTCAGTAAATCGGTGATATGCACGCTTCATTCAATTGTCGCAGTTCAATGTTCGCCTAAACGACAGCCATGTTTACCATTACTTTGCTGATCACCATTAGTTTTAATAAGAGTCTGAATACACTTGTCGCGTGTCGCGACGTCACACAACAGCGCGATAATCAAAATGCATTCTTTAACTGGATGATCACATTGCGGAATTGTGTGATGAATACTGACAGTGATTATCAAATCGCAGTCAAAAGTAATCATGGTTTAGTTTTGAAACATATAAACCAGCGTGTACAGAATACAACCAACACGAAAAACAATATATATTATGTAACATTACTTAATCATATATGATTCAACCTAAAGATTTGAAACTTACATATACTGTAAAAATTGTAAAATTATATTTACAGTACATATATGATATATACAACCTATAATATAACAGTCAGAAAAAATATAAAGGTAAGTATTTTTGTAATGACGTTATTATTTTACCCATCTTTTCGACTTGGCAATTTTTTGTGATTGATGCTTTCTTTTTAATGTAATAGAATCAAAAGTTTGCTTACAACAAGAAAACACTGTTGTGTGTTTCATATTTGGTTTTATTTTCATTATTACGTTTACAAATTACAAGACAGTTGTTGTAATGCAAACAATTTATGGTTACTTTTTTAAGCTGATATGTATAAGTTTTAAGTTTATTCTAAGTTCATCATAATTTCTCACA